TGGATGGATGGATGGATGGATGGATGGATGGATGGATGGACAGAAATATTGACCTTTCAGTTATAAAATACTGAAATCACATCCAAATTTATCCAAATTTTTGTATATACTTGATAAAATCTGCCAAACAAGAATACAGTTTGTATTATTGCAGCACCCTAGTATGATTGGTTTATTTAAACCATTCCAGGACTACTGAGAGAAAAGGATGAAAATGACTGAATGGGCTCAATTATCTGTCATGATTTTAATATTATAGGTTGCTAAGTAGCTGGGTTTTTTGTTTGTTTGTTTGGTAACTATTAGTGCTATTTGAATCTCCTGGAATAAGGATTTTGTGTAGAACACTCATAATTGGGTATCTAACAAACAAGGACCTTTGTTTTACTGTAAAAATTCCTTAGGTGATAGTTTATTGTAAGGAAGATAACTTTGGGGCTGGAGAGGTGGCTTAGGGCCTAAGAGCACTAGCTTTTTTTTTTGAGATAGGATCTCCCTATAGCCCCAGCTGGTTTGGAACTCACTTTGTAAACTGGACTGGCTTTGAATTCACTGAGATCTGCCTGCCTCTGCCTCCAGAGTGCTGGAATTAAAGACATACACCACCATGCCCGGCCTAAAGAACACTAGCTATTCTTGAGGAGGACCTGGGTTCAATTCCCAGCACTCACATGGCAAGTAATAACCATCCATAACTCCAGTTCCAACACCACCTTCTGACCTTGTGGGCTTTGCATGACATGGGTGCACTTACGCATATGCAGGCAATACACTCATACACATAAATAAGGCTGGCTAGATGGCTCAGTGAGTAAAGGTTCCCGCTACCAAGTCTGATAACTTGAATTCAGTCCCTGGGACCCACATGGTGGCAGCGAACCAACTACTTTAGGTTATCCTCTGACCTCCACACAAATATGTGCATACAGTAAAAATTAAGGGGTTAGGGTGTCTGGAGATATGGCTCAGTGGTTAAGAGCATTTACTGTTCTTGCGAAAGTTCTGAGTTTAGTTCCCAGCATCCAGGTCAGGTGGACAGCAACTGCCTGGAACTCTAGCACACATGAATTTTTTTTTTCCTCTTTTTGAGACAGGGTCTCCCTGTAGCTCTGGCTGTCCTGGAATTGGTTATGTAGACCTGGCTGGCCTTGAACTCAGAGATCCACCTGCCTCTGCCTCTGCCTCCCGAGTATACTGGGATTAGAGGTGTGCACCACCATGCCTGGCTGAATTTTTAAGTTACTTTTATCCTATGGCTGTTTGGTTGAAGAAGCTTAAGTCCGTTGAAGATCCACATGAGTAACAAGCCTTTGTTAACTTTTTTAAAAAAATTATTGAGAATTTCATACAGGGATATAAGCATATAAGGTGTTTTGATCAAATCCATGCCCACGCCCTCCCCCCAACTCCTCCCATATCTCCCCATCACATTTTTCTGATAACTTCATGTACTCCTTCTTTGCTTATGAGGCTTTTGAATACTCTAAAATACCCCCTTCTGAAGAGGTAGCCCTAAAATCTTTTAAGGATTAGATAAGAGCTTCCAAATGTTTTTGACATTTTTGGCCTTTAGAACAGAGTATGTTGCTAAAATGCCCAAGGACATTTTGACTGTTAGCCAAGAAGCTGGTTACTTTGGGGTCTTTTTACACTAACTGCCTAGCCAGTTCCTACCTCATATTATCACACCATCCTCTGAAGAGGTTACCCACCTTGAGGATAGGGAATCAAGACGTGCACTGCTCTGGCTTTCATGCTGAACAGGGATGCAGGGTGAGGCAATTGGGGTACCCCTATAGTGGGTCTATCTAAAAGATTACCAAATTGCATAACTCTTACCTGGTGAATTGGAGATGTAAAGGAGAAGTAAAGGCAAGAGTAAGTAGCATTACAAGTTCTAGGGAACTAGAAAAAAGAACAGGACAATTTTCAAATGTTCATAAGACTGCATTGGAATTCTTAAGAGCTTCCAAAAGCATCCATCTATTGGGTTCCTCATTTTGGGGGGGGGAGGATTTGCTTGCAGGTGTTTTGTTAGCTGTTGGAGTGGTTAGAATCAGTGTCAGTTCCCTCTCAAAGGCTTTTAGATAGGGGGAGAAAAGTTTGGCTATTATTTTAGAATAGTGGGTTGTCTCTTAGCTACAGGTGGGCGCTACAGTATTGCAGACCAAGATCTGATGTCTTAATCTGAGTTGCACTTTCTGATTCAGAACAAAATCATCAATGAGAGATAATTGTCTAAACAACTTTTTATATGGACTTAAGCCTAATGTCTACGAAGTGTAATGCCTTGAACTCTTAAAGAAATGACTTTACTCTTTGGTTATACTTTTCTTTTGGGTGTTTAAGACCATGCAGTTGGCCCAAATAAATCAATTTATTTTTACACTTAAGGTCATTTGAGGATCTCGGGGGTCACATGGGCTTGGGAGGAACTTTTGGCTCCTTTTATCAGTTCCGTCTATGTGAAGGTAAGTCAGAGGTCCTGCTTGACCATGTCTGGCTTCACTTGGAAGGATGAATGAGATGTTTCCTCGGAGTTGACCCTCCTCTTTGTAGACTGAACACTGGCTCAAGTCCATCTTGTGGGGTTTCCATGTCCTCACTGAATAAGAGGACAGGTGACTCACCACAGTTACAGGACCTTTTGAGAGGTGTCCATAGCCCCTGGAACTTAGTTGACCTTGAAGGGCAAGGGGCAAAAACTGTCCTTTAAGTCCCTCTGTCCATGTTAGTATAGGCCTCAAACTATGGCTGATAGACATCCAATAAGGTTAGTTCCACCAGTCTGGTACTTTTAATTACCATGTGCTATGTAGATAAAGCTTGGGTAAAAACCAAATGTTCTCAGATAAACCTTGACTAGATATATATTTTGTTCCTTAAAACTAGTTGACTAAACTATGACCATAGACATTTTAAGATTGTGTGTATATTATTTTTGTCTCATTCTTTATATATCATAACAAACCTACACAGACCTTCATCACTTGCTTTTAGGCTTTCTCCTTTTTTCTATTTTGGGAAATATCTCCATTCCCATATCCTTTTAACATCTTTTACATTCTCATTTTCTTTTAATAATT